TGAAAAAAATTATATGTTAAGGACTTATGTAAACTTGGCAATATCCTCGAATTTCGTCCTTCTAACTTTATCAGCTTAAAAAATTACTTATTCGTCCTTGTGACTCCAAAAAAATAATTTTTGTTTAATTCTAAAGAAATTTCCTCTTTCATTTGGTACACATATTTTTATTCTACATTGCATTGAATTTTTTAAATAATTTTTGGTATCAATCATATCTTTGAAATTACAAAGTCCTTTAATATAAATCCTGACGTCAGAGAGAAACAAAACGCCACTTTAAATAAAAAAGGAGGTTTCAAACCCATTTATTTATTATTTATTTTATGGTAGGAGAGATAACTAGAAGCAATTTTTTCGATTGAGGTTGTTGAAATGTAATGAATATCTAAATCCCGGGATCCTGGGATTGTGATAAGTACATCCCGAAAATCCCGGGATCGTAAAAAACGAAAAAATTAACTTCCCTAGCAGGTATGTATGTATATATGTGGTTGTTCGCTAACAATAAAATGCAATTAAACAACAAACTTTGGATACAAATATATATACAAGTGAAAGCAATCACCCAGTAATCTGAATTCCTCATATATTTTCGGCAAAAAAAATTTGATTTAAAGTGGCGAACGTTTTTTATTAACGCTTGAGAGTATCTATGTAGAAATGCTTCAGATTTACACTCATTGCCACGCAAACCTTACCACCAATTTTTTTTTAATTTGGTAGTGTTTTGCAAGTAAACAAAAAAATTTCACTCTCTTAATATAGTTGATACGGCAACAAAAACTATATAAATAAATGAGGTTGTTCACACATGCCTGGTTATCAGGTTATCTGGTTATGTGGTTATATTTTTCAATTCAGTTTACAACAATAAAATACACTACAGAATAATAACCAGATTACCTGATAACCAAACAAGTGTGAACAACCTGAAAGTTTCAAACTTTGTACAAATTTTGGAAAAATTCATCAAATTTTTATCAAAATTTCCAAAATAAAACGAAAAATCGGTAAATGTCGGATATGCAGTAGCTCAGCCATAAAAAAAAAATGTCAAAAATCAACTGTAAGTCCCAGCCACTGTAAGCTTGCACATTATTACAATAAAATCAAATAGTATTAAACTGCATACCCAAATTTTCTGTACAAATTTTTATTAAGAAGTCTGAAATTTTGATGAAAATTTTTCTAAATGTTGAACAAATTTTTTGAAACTTTGATCTGCTTATATAGTTTCTATTGCGGCTTGAACCATACTAAAAAAAATTCCTTAATTTACAAAATTCGACCAACTTAAAAAAAAGTGGCGGTAATATTTGCAATTCATTAAGCTCTATGAACCGTTTCGTGCCTTAGTAGTGGACTGAGGCTCATAATTTGTTTCGTGGGGCTCATTTTGTGGTCTCATTTAGCCATCTTCAAGAGTCATAAATACTGATTTGGTAAACTCAAAATGCCGTTAATATTGGGAAACGGCAAGGGGGCTTAGACAAGACAGGTGCTGCTGTTATCCATTCGAAAGGAAGTATATCAGTCTTTTAAATTGAACATATATTAAGTTATTGATGGATATCTAATCGGAATTGATTTGACTGATTTTGACTTGAAGACAATCTTCAGAGCACATTCTCTTTTATTGTCCGGCCTTGGTCAGACAAAGATTAGTGCATTCTAAATCTTCGTAAAGCCTTTGAGTTAAGAATTCGCTTACCGAGGTGCTTTCAGTTTTTTATTATGGAAGGCGAAGGCATCTTAAGAATTCTGAATTATGGATTTTTGCAAAGAAAAACGGATCTTTTAGGATACTCCACAACTACCCTGCAAAAATCGTTGGACCATGTAGTCTATTTGTGGTATATTGGAGTACTTACAAAAGTGCTCCTCTGTCATGCTGTAGCGGACCAACTCGTGTCTCTGCACCAGCTTATTGTTACCCGATCACTGCTCGTGTTTTAACGACATGTGATTGAAGTTAAGCATTTGAAAGTACATTTGCATGTCTGGCTGTAACTGAACGTGTAGAGATGCTAGCTGTTAGTTCTTAGCTCCCAGCATGTTCGGGTTCGACTGTCGTCAGAGGCAACATGTAATTTTTAATTTTTGTTTCTGGTTTTTATTAATTTCAAAAAAAGCATCTGCGAAGTGAAGAACAAAAGCGTGTACAAACGAAAAAATATAACGATAATGTCATTGGAGTATGTTGGGAGTAGTTTTGTGCTACTCTGATGTAATGCAGAGATGGAGTACATGGTCCTGCCCTAGGACATCGCAATGTTAATTGGACCATATTTTTTATATGAATTGTGGTTAATTTTAGAGTACTCCTTGGACCTTCGGGAGTACTCTTTACATGCATGCATGGAGTAGTCGCGATTTTTGCAGGGTAAGGGCATTCATTATAAGCTAAACTTTTTCTCAAATTAATTGCTGAGTCTATACACCTCCGTTTCGTTACAATCGTCAAAATTTTCTGAAAAAGGCCATTTTGCGCCTGGGTTTTGTCTATGAAGTAATTTATTCTGTGCACTTCTTCGGTTCTCCTAAATTAAAATCGTACTTTCACTAGCACACCAGCAACTAAATAAAAGTGTACGCGTTAGAACGAACGCGTCGAAAATTAAGTTGTTTTCTTAGTTAGTTTCTTTTTCAATTGTCAGCTAAAATGGTAGCTTGTAAAGAATTAAGGAGCAGGAAGTGGAAGGTAGAAAAAACAAAGGCAAAGGAGTAGACAAGTCACTTACATGAGCACGCACAGTCCTTTCGCCAAAAAGTGTGTTGTTAAGTGGCAAAAAGCAAGAGTCAGAATGGGTGGTAAATTTGCGCTGCTTAAAATCTTAAAAGGAATGGAAGTGAAAATCTGCAATGCGCAATCAAGGTAGAATGCCCGATTCAACGAAGTGGAAATATTAAATGGGTGTGTAAAGTATTTCCGAATGCAATCATGTGCTTAGAATACAAGGAAAGTTGTTTATTCAGAACTTTAATGTAAAAATCTGAATTGACTAACTCTTTAAGGTGTGAAGCATACACCAGGTTGGCGAAATTTTTCTATCGCATTGGTTTTGGGTTCAATACTTTTTGTAAATTTTTTAAGTTATCCATGGTCCTCCCAGGTTTGACATCCATTTTACAAGTTTAAATTAAACTTGCAAATTAAATTGATTTTGAATTTTGTACCAGGTGGCAACCTTCGTCTGAAATGGTTTCTAAATAGAGCTTTCACTCGGTCGTTACTAATAATAAAATATATAACATGTAAATTAAATTAATTTTTAATTCCTATACAGGTGGCAACCCTTTTACAATCCATATTCGAGATCAATCTTTCTTAAACCTCTCTCACGTTCGGCACCCATATTAAAATATTTCAGTTAACTTGTTAATTAAATCAATTTTGACTTTCTAAACAGGTGGTAAATTTTGACTTTCTAAACAGGTTGTAGCCCTCATAAAAAAATATTTGAGAAATAAAACTTTCTTAAACATCTCTCGTTTTACTCCTATATTAACATATTTAATTTAAAATGATTTTAAATGTCTAAACGGGTGGTAACCCTCTTCAAAAACTGTTTCCAAATGGTGCCTTCTTTAACCTATCCGTTAATTTCTCATGTAAAATTCATATTTCATTTACCAATTTCCGAAATAAATTTTTCCTAAGCCACTTTCGTTTTAAACCCATATAGCAATATTTCATTTAACTTGTTCATTAAATTGATTTTAACTTCTTGAACACGTGGCAACCCTCTGCAAAATTATTTCGAAATAAATCGTTTATGAGCAGCACCTTTCCTTTGATACATTGTTTTAATATTTTATGTAACCTATTGAAAAAGGTGGCAACTCTCTTCCCAAAATATCCTATATTTGACACCTCTATGTGTGACAAATTTCAATCAAATATCGTCTTAACGTGAAAGAGCAGCCAACCTACTCACCACTCACTCACCCACAAACTTTCACATTTATAAAATTAGTAGGATTAGTAAGATTGCCTTTTCTCTTCTCTTCTATCGTACATTCTATTCTATTAACGAAAGCTCTTAAAGTCACTAAATATTTGATGTAATGTTTATCCTTTTATTTTTACTTTCAGCTAATAGGGATGGCAACATAAATGAATCCGTGGACAAAAACCAGAGTAAACCTCCAAAGCCAACCTCCTATTCAAAGAAAAGTGGAATTATGTACAACTAGCCAAAGAAATTGTTAGCAAACAGTATAAATGGCACAGTAAAGATAAAACGTAGTAGCGTGAACAAGTATTATAACTGGATATTAAAGGCGAGCTATTAAGGCTTAAAAGAAAATCAATAGGCCACAAGGAAAGCAACCCGGGAAGAATATGGCCACACATGAATATGTGAGGTTAAAGTATTAATCATCACGAACAGATAGATGTTCGTAACAAGAAATTAATGAAAAATTTAACACAATGGCGTTAAAGGACAAAATGAAGCCGCTAAGTCAACAAAAATGTAACGTGAACGAAAGCAAAGGACATTGCGTGAAGCAGGAGTGACTGCAAATGCAAGGAAAATTAGCATTGTGCTAACAGTAAAAAGAAAATGAGGAATAATTAATAATCGAAACAAAGTGCATACAAAATTTTTAATAATGAAGCGTAAAAGAAACAAAATATATACAAATATCTGAAAATCTGTAAGATGCAAACTTAAAACAAAAAAGTACTTAAATCAAAAAAGGTACTTAAAGTTAGTGAAATCCCTTTGCAAAAATTTAAAAATGCTGAAATTGCTGCAGCCAAATATTCCAAATTGCTCAGCAAGCAAACAACACTGCCAACCAGATTGCCCGTCGCGTGCCAAACGTACTTACCAGTTAAATAGCTTAAAATTATAAACAAAATCATTGTTGATCAAAGAAAGTTAAGTTGAGATTGTAATCATTTGCAGAAAAGGCACACTCACACACACACAAGTACTTAACAGTAATTTTGGGTAGTTGGAAAATAAAACCTATCGTCGTTGCGCGTAATGAAGACACTCCTTTGCACGTCTGCGACGCATTTACTATCGTTATCGTTACCGTTATCATTAACGCGTTCATTATTTGTAATTATATTTTTACTATTAATTGGTAATTTTGATTTGAGCATTCTACCGTTGCCAACAAAAAGCTTGAATCAGCGCAGTATCAGCAAAGTCTCAGCGGAAGTATTTACTTTGGGTTATTTAACCGGTTCACAGCGCAGTCCGGGAAATTTGGATTATCAGCGACCAGGTGAGTTGAGAAATAGAAGTAGAAGTAGGAAATATTTTAGAAATAAACTAAATCAATCCAATTGTTCAAGTCCCGATTGTTCAAGTCCGTGTTGATCCTTTCTTACTGTAACTTATCGGAATTTGCTTTAAGCTTTAGAGTTTTTCTTTCGATCGACCGCAATCTGTATTTCAAGGTTATGAGTGTCTATACGACCCGAATCTGCCAAACTGGTATTATGTAGTAAGTTTGCTGAGGGACCTTTGGACCCGAAGGACACATTACTCGACTTCAGCGCCACCTCATATATATGTTTGTACAGCAATTAACAAGGCAATTCTGGCAACTGTCTTTCAACTAACTATGGTCTTTCAAAAGACAAGTCAGCCATGGTAAAGCTCTTTACTGTCCTTCGAAAAAATAATTGAAAGATCTTCTAATGACGAGGTCTTAGCGGTATTCTGATAAATACTTAAAGTAACTGATGAATTAAGTTGAAATTTATTTTTTAAACACGTGGCAACCCTCCTAAATATAGTCCTGAAATAAAGGATTTCAAACCCATTTCCATAGATAACCATCGTTTAGTAATTCATTTAATTTATCAAATGGTTTTAATTTAACCTTTTAAACTGGGGCAACCCTCAAACACATCAAAAATATTCTAAATTGACAAACTAAATATTTCTTAAATCTCTTTCATTTGATATCCATTTTTATTATTGCATATAACTTGGGTATAAAATAATTTAATTCGACTTCTCAAATAGGTGGCAACCCTCTTCAAAATATTTTAAAACTACTACCTTTTAAACCTCTTTTGTCTGATACCCATATAGTGATACCTTATGCACTAACCAAATTTCTTTAATTAAAATTTAACTACATTTTTTGAACATGTGGCAAACCTCCTATACGTAGTTAAGCTATAAAGCCTTTTCAACCCCATTCCGGTTGATATCCATATTGTAGTAATTGATTCAGCTTTTTAAATAATTTGAGCTTAATTTCTAACGGGTGGAAACTCTTTTCGAAAAAGTAAAACCTTATTGAACATCCACACCCTAAGCCCTTCAATTTGGCACTTCACTTTTGAAAATCGAACGAACGGTGCAGATCTGATGAACTGGGCAAAAAATCCCTTCGCGTATTATGTATATAGATAACTTCTAAATCGACTGTTTCAAGTTTTACTATTAAGACTATTTTACATTTTTTAATTACAAGATTTATAAATTTTAATTAAAAAATCTAAAAACAATTTTTTTCTTTACAGGCATCACCATCTCCGGCGCCATTACACTCGCCGTTTCCCAAGTGAATGCTGGCAGGCTTAAGGAACTCGGTCATTCACTGGAATTCATTGTGGCCGAAACCTATGGTGATGAAGTATCGAGCATACGGCAAACGGCCTCACTTTGGACTCGGCAAGTAGCCGGCTACATTGGACCACAAGAGACCTGCGTGCATGAGGGGCGCATGGCAGCCGCCTTCAATTTACCTATGATATCCTATGTAAACAGAGCCACCTAAAGCATATCATCCCAAATCATAAATTATGCTACTAATCGTTAAATTTATTGCAGTACTGCATACACCGCGACACGTCAAATAAACAGGACTTTCCCACCTTTGCGCGCACGCGTCCGCCGGATACGCAAATTTCAAAGTCAGTGGTTTCACTGCTTTTAGCTTTTAATTGGACGCAGGTGAGTGGCTTTGGTATATATTTAATGATTTAAAACATAGTTATTTAATTACTTTAAAATATTTGTTTACTAGGTTTCCTTCCTGTATTTGGATAGTCCACATAGTCCTTTTCATCCGGTTGCTGAGACAATACAGAATATTTTACACAATGCTGGCGTAATTGTGCGCGATATACAAACATGGAATACTATTTATCATCACGGCTTCATGGTGAATCCTTTCGATGAGTTGGTGGAGCGTACCTACAAAAATACACGCAGTGAGTAAAAAATTAATTTTAATAGGAAAGGGAATCATCATTGTGGATATGCATACATATATGCCTACGTACATACATAAATATGTATACTGATGACAGCCAAAGAGCTTGTATGTATGAATACGTTTTGTGCAAACTCCTACCTGTAAGTGAATTCTCCGCTGCTCAACATATTCTGCAGTTATAGGCAAGTTTTTTTCCTTTTGATCCTGCTTTCGTTCGATCATTATCCTGTTAGTGTAATTCTCATATGCCTTTTACACATTTCAAGAGAAATAGTTTACCTGCGACTCGGTGTAGTTATCGCTTCTCGGCCTTATGGCTAAGATCAAAGTGTAGTATCTGTTCTTATCAGCTTAACATCTGATAGATCCTCCATCGGAGGACAACAAATGTTAAACTGATTTTTGGAAATAGACGGAGAGTTTTAGGGGCTTGCTCCACCTCTGTCACGGGTTGGCCCGGTATTGCAGTACCGCCGGGATTTTGGCCCAAATTTTTGAATACATTTCAAGGTTTATAGCAGTAAATAATCGTAACACGATCGGTTGTGATCGGATAATTTTAATAAAGATGTGAGCAGGGTTGCCACTGACGAAAAAAAATATTTACCATCGACTTGAAAAAAATCTACCAAATGTGGGAAATATCTACCAATAACTTTTTTATAATTATTTAAATAAAAACTATAGTTTTATTATTTTTTTTATTTATTTCAATTAAAACTTTAGTTTTTTTATTTTTTATTTTTAGTTATGTTTTTAAGAACTTTTTATTTAACTAGTTATACGGTATTTGGGTCGTATTATTGGCATATTCTCTGTTTCCTTCAACCAAAAGCGGAAGTGATGAAACTAAAGGCAACAATGAAACTTTATTATTTGAAAAACTTCAACTCGAGTTATTATAGACAAATACAGTGACTCAAAAAAGTGATTTTTTTAATATTCGCAATATTTTTCGAGTAAAAATTTTTTGTTGCTTTAACTAAATCCATAAAAATCGAGGATTCAAACTATATACAACATATAGAAAAATTCCAAAAATTTTCGTCTAAATTTCGAATTTTTTACTCAGAATTTTTAGAACAATTTTAGGTATGGAGTTTTAAAGCAAATACTATTTGAGTATAGCCAAAAATGTGCTGCTTATAATTCTCATTGATTTTTTTAATTTTTTTCCATTGATAAAAAATGGCGTTGATTTAATTCTTGTTGCGAACAATCATGGTGCGTTATTACATACCTGTAAATTTTTTCTTTATATTTAAATAATCATTTAAAATATTTAGGCAATCAAAAGCTCCTCGGGATTCCAGTAAAATTAGTTTTGAATGGAGCGCGATATGTTCGGTTTATATCGATATACATTTCTACGTATGTAATTATATAAAAAGTATGCAAAGAAATTTTATTAATTATTTATTTAATTTTATATTTAAAGATAACTACGAAAAATAAATCGGGAACGGAAATTTCATCAAAAATCTACCAAAATGAGAAAAAATTTACCTTTTTACCAACCCAAATTTTTTCTACCAATTTTGGTAACAATTTACCAAAGTGGCAACCCTGGATGTGAGCGAATTTCACGAGTTCTTTCTTTCTTATTAAGGGTGGGTAACTCTGTAAATTTTCGTGTGCTGACTCAGTAACTCCAACTCACTTTAATGAGTCAGCACAGTGAGCTGGCACAAGTGTGCTATCGCACAATTGGTATGTACATCGAAATTATTGATGATGTTAGTAATCGAAATCGATTTAGAAAAGGTTATCCTTAGCTTCTGTTCGTAGCTGGCCGGAAAAATTTTACAAAGCTGATTTCAACTGGTGAGTTCATTTGCAAAATAATTCCCTACTTAGTGTTGCCTGAGAGTTGTCACATAAGAATCTGTTAAATGGGCTATGCATGTAAGCGGTTACCCAACGCATAGCACTTCACATGTAGAATTCTGTTTGGTTTTGATTTTTACGTAAAAATGGTATAGCAGTGCAAGTATGCATAACTTGGCTATTCGCCTTGCTTCTTTTTAAATTTGGTAGTCGTATATTCAATTGATGGTTAGTCTAGTGATGCCATCTATTATGGTACTCTTTGGAAGATCGTATTAGGTTCATTCCTTTTTTTTTGGACTAAAATCTGAAAAGTGTCAAAATGCCAGAGCGTAAGCAAAATGCGCTCGCTAAAAGAGAGTAACAGGAAAAGTAAAGGAACGCAAAAAACCAAATTTTTAGTCCAAAGAATGGCAACAACAAAACTAACGTCAAATAAGAACAGAAATGTATGTACAAAACACATTCACACAAGCACAAGCACAATAAACACTTGCTATATCAATTATTTTTTGCCTCCTTCCAATTTCAATTCATTTCTTTTACTTTTTAGATTATTCTCACTTTTAGCGAATTCTTTAATTTCTGTTAATTTAAATTCAGTTGAGTTTGACACTTTTCAGGATTTTGCCAGAAAAAATTCTTCTGACTACTTCGGACTGATGAGAGTCGCTCTCACTGACTGTTGCTCTCACTGACTGTTGCTCTCTCATTTTTGCTGTCATTTCCGAGTTAAGGAACGCTTTTTGGACTAAATCTGACTACTTCGGACTTTTTCTGACTATTTCTGGGAGATAAGGAACGCGCATATTGTGTGAATGTGTGAGCTCATCAATTGAGTTACCACATCGACACAGTTCTAAACAATGCAAGCCGCACCGAGCTATGCAAGTGTCAGCACATCAACTGAGTTACCATATCGACTCTGTAGCACACTGAGCTATACATTGTCAGCACATAAACTGAGTTACTGAGTTACAAATTTTTTCAGAGGTGAGTCTGAGCGTGCGGCACAGTTCTAAGAGTCAGCACAGTAACTCAGCACAGTGCTGAGTTACCCACCTCTATTTCTTATTTTAGTGTCCGTCCTCCGCTCATACATTGTAATCAGTGGAGTTCCAGAAACAAGTACCCCATAAAAAAATTAAAGCAAAGTTTTTTTCATCGCTCCGCTCCGGTATTTTATTTCGCTCTTGCTCCACACCCGCTCCAAAATATTTTTTTTTATACGTATGTATGAGCCATAGTTGCCAACTTGATGCTTTAAGCACTAGATTTAGTGCTCGTCAAAGCGGTTTTTTGTGACTTTGATCCGGGGTTTCGGTTCGGTTCAACGGTTCGAAAAACAAAAACAAAAACGCGCAAGTTTAACAGGCTTATCTATTGAAAATTGGTTGAAACAAACCTTTATAGAAAGTGGTTCGGTTTCGGCTCGGATCAAACATTTGTGGAAAATTTCGGTTCGGTTAATGGTTCAGTTAGTTAATAGAGAAAAGCGGTTTTCTGGTTCAAAGCCGGTTTACGGTCCCTGTGTAAAATAGTTAATTATCTCAATAATAAATTTGTCGACAGGAAAGGTGGTGTTATTGCGTTAAATTGCTAAACACGATATGGTAATATGAATGATATAATGAAATTTCTCAAGTAAAAGTAAAAAAAGTCGACTGGGAGGATAAAATAAACTTTAAAATAGTAAACTTTCTCAGTGCATCTAAAGTTTCTAAGGCGTTGTTTACTTTTACTTGAAAATTGTCAAAATCGGCAAATCCCTAGTAGCGGTTTCTGGAACGTGCCATATTTGTTCGCTACTTCGTGATGTGATAAAAAGAAGAGCTGACAACAGCACTCCGCAACAGTGTTGCCGCGAATCATTTTTAGTGGTAGCCAAATTCCTTTAAAAAGGGCTAAAAAAGAGCTAAAAAAATTCCTTGTGGCTAAAAATGGTAGCTAAACCCTGTAGGGAAACCCCGAACTGGTGAACCAAATTTGTAGTTCCGTACTAGATCTTTATCGCCAAAAACGAACCAGTCCGATAGTAACTAGATCGCCACCAGTTCAAAAGCAGCGATATGTGGTACTTTTAAAAAGCAATTTTAGAAATCTATATCTAAAATGATGAATTTAGAACTGGTTCAAAACTATAGAAAAAGGGATGCATAACGAACTAGATCTCATCTGGCGAATTTTGAACTATTTCGAAACTAATTAAAAAGGGATGCAGCGGGGGGCTTGTTTACTTTAAATAGATTTTTGCTTGGCAGGTTTTTCGTTCAAATACGCTTTCAGTCTGCACGTCGCAGATGCTTTTTCATAGTTTGGCAATACAAAACTAATATTTGTGTTAGCATCTTAACATTTTGGGACCTTCTGGAATATAACCAGTAACAGTCAGCAGCTCTGCAAATTCAGCTACAGCCAAAGGTATGTAAACGTGTTTTCAAATGTACAATTTAATTTACATTCATTCAAACAAATTTGATTTCAGATTGAAAATACATTTCTCTGCAAATAATTGAAATTTTCTACCATGCTAACCCAAAAAGAAAACATGTTGTTACTTTTTTCGTTTACAACTGGTTCGAAACTATAGAAAATGGGGTGCAAAGCGAACTAGATCCCATATGTCAAACTTAGGACTGGTTCTGAACTATAGAAAAGGTAATGCAGCGGGGGACAATTTCCAATTCCTATGACATCGCTGTGTTAAATTCGCCAGTTGTTTGCATGCAAAAGAGATTTATCGCGAACTAGTAGTGGTTCTAAATGTACTAGAAGCGCACCAGTTCAAAACTAGACATTTTCCCCACAGGGATACCACTCCAGCGTGCTGGCTCCACCAAGTGATTGTACCATCAGGCTCAAAGCATATAACTTACCAGCATGCTGGTACAAAATTTGTTTTCTTTACAAATGAGGTCGAGGAAAGATCGAACTGATTAGGGCCGAAATTTCATAATTTTTCTACCATTTTGTTAAACTTGTTTTTTTTTTTTTAATTCGCAACTGCAATACCGTGAACTTAATCTTCCACAAACGCGGCTTTGACTCATATAGTGCAAGAAATTACCGCCAAAATATTTTATACTTATAAAATTGAGCTAATTTCACCACTCACAACACCAGCAGCTGGTACAATCATAAAATTTTCAAATAGTTTTTGAAGTCGCAGCAGCAGCTGGTACAATCACATCACAAGAACATACACGGTCAATCGACTTGATGGGCCATTTAACACTCTAGTAGGCCGAACCGCCTCCAGACGGTCGTTAGCTAAACACCTTTTTAGTGCACCTATAACACAGGCCAACAAAAATAAAAAATAAATGTTGGTGTGACAAATGTTAAAGCTATTTTTGATAGACTTTTTTGTGCTGATTACGAATCCGTAAGTACAAAGGATCCAACACTTACAGGTTTTGAGAAAATCGAGGTCAAAGTGTCAAAAAATCGGGCTTTTGCAATATTTGAGAAGCTCTAGCAAAGAGTAAAAAGGTGATAGAACCTTCCACTTAGGCTTAGATTAAAGCAAGAACCCTCGACTACTGTCCTTGAAAATACCATTCCTGCACATTGAATTTATGGCCACTTATAGTCATTTATTGAGCAGTAAAATTTGACTTTTGGCGAAGTTTGAGTCTCTGCCGCTATTAAACAAAAGGTGATAGAAC